AAAATCACTTCATCAGCCACTGTTTCTCCAAATGTGGAATTATCAAACAACTTCCCCATTGGAGGCAGCGGCGTTAATCAGGTTTCCCGGCAGAGCTGTAGTTCATTGTCACTGCTAATGGAGCGTCTTCTGCAGGTTGTTGCTCTTCACTAAATTAGCACAGAGTCTTATCCTAAAAACATTGACTAATACCGCACTTCATCTTGGAAACTCTCAACTCTGGTGAAAAATCTCATCTGAACTGACACTGATGCATCGGAGCGTCGCCCTGCACTGCATTCATCAAGCTGCTGACAAAATTAATCTTGATAGACTGAAACCAAATTACACCTGAGCTCACACCCATTCCTTATCACAAACATTGAATAAATATTTATCAAGCAGACGTCGACTTCCCCCTCCTGCTGCTGCTGATGCTGATGCTGCTGCTGATGCTGCTGATGCTGCTGATGCCACTGGTTTATGAATAATCTTTGTACAACACACACAATACACACATGCAGTACTGTAACCTCACCTTTGACTACGATATGACCTCGGATTCAAACACCAGAGCTAACGTTAGCTACAGCAGTCCTGGTACAGACACCAGAGTTAACGTTAGCTACAACAGTCCCGGTACAGACACCAGAGCTAACATTAGCTACAACAGTCCTGGTACAGACACAAGAGCTAATGTTAGCTACAGCAGTCCTGGTACAGACGCCAGAGCTAACGTTAGCTACAGCAGTCCTGGTACAGACGCCAGAGCTAACGTTAGCTACAGCAGTCCTGGTACAGACACCAGAGCCAACGTTAGCTACGACAGTCCTGGTACAGACACAAGAGCTAATGTTAGCTACAGCAGTCCTGGTACAGACGCCAGAGCTAACGTTAGCTACAACAGTCCTGGTACAGACACAAGAGCTAATGTTAGCTACAACAGTCCTGGTCCAGACCCCAGAGCTAACGTTAGCTACCACAGTCCTGGTACAGACACAAGAGCTAATGTTAGCTACAACAGCCCGGGTACAGACACCAGAGCTAACATTAGCTACAACAGTCCTGGTACAGACACAAGAGCTAATGTTAGCTACAACAGTAGTACCACAGTAACGACTGTGTTCTTTAACGTCAGCTGAACGACTGTTCAATGATTCAGTCATCAACCAACATTAACTATACCAGATTGTGATTAATTGCAGGTGATTAATTACAGCATTTCTACTTAATTATATTTCATTCTTTATGTCTTTTGGATAAAAAAAACCCTTTAAAGCTTAAAGACAAATAATTTGATCTTTGATGTTGAAGTACTTCATATACTGTGTGTATTGTGTATCTGTCTACAGTGTGTGCATGGACCGGCACACACACACACACACACACACACACAGCTCGTGGTATCCGTCTTATAAATGAGCTCATTTTTCAGCACTAATTAAAATATGCAAAAACGAGGAGGAGCAGGAGAAGAGAAGAGGAGAACGAGAGGAGAACGAGAGGAGAACGAGAAGAAAACGAGAGGAGAACGAGAGGAGAACGAGAGGAGAACGAGAGGAGAGCGAGCGGAGAACGAGAGGAGAACGAGAGGAGAACGAGAGGAGAGCGAGAGGAGAACGAGAGGAGAACGAGAGGAGAGCGAGCGGAGAACGAGAGGAGAACGAGAGGAGAACGAGAGGAGAACGAGAGGAGAGCGAGCGGAGAACGAGAGGAGAACGAGAGGAGAACGAGAGGAGAACGAGAGGAGAACGAGAGGAGAACGAGAGGAGAACGAGAGGCGTTTGTTTCAACGCTGAAAAGTCCTTCATTTACCACACTGACAACGTTTGTCCCCCTTAAACAAAGCTACTGTCTGTGTCTGTGTGAGGATTTAAGGAAGTCCGTCCTGACACACACACAGACAGACACAGACACAGACACAGACACAGACACACACAGACACAGACACAGACACAGACACACAGAATGATTCTTTTATGGCCGATGTTTGTCATTAATTATTCAAATGGATGACGTTCCACTCATCATCATCTCAACGTGACCACGCCGCACAAACACACACACACAGGGGCCCGTGAGGGCTGGG